TACTACCACAACTTACTCCTACTACTACTACTACTACTACTACTATTACTACTACTACCACAACTCACTCCTACTATTACTACTACTACTACTACTACTGCTACTACTACTACTACTACTACTCTTGCTCCTCCTGCTGCTGCTGCTGCTGCTCCTCCTCCTCCGCCTCCTCCTCCTCCTACTACTACTACTACTACCACTACTACTACTACTACTACTACTACTACGACTACGACTACGACTATGACTACGACTGCGACTACTACTGCTGCTACTGCTACTGCTACTGCTACTGCTACTGCTACTGCTGCTACTACTACTACTACTACTACTACTACTACTGCTATTGCAACAACAGCCACTGTCACTTCAGGTTGGGATCTTGCCGAAGACGATCTGCTGAGATACAAGTTCTTCCAAAGCTTCGAAGAGCTGATGCAGGCCTTCGGTCGTGTATTTCGTGGTTCGGGTTTAGGGTTTAGGGTTGCTCTGCAGGCTGCTTGATTGATTGGGCTTTTGTTTTTCCCCGCTACTGGGTTTAAGAGTTAATAGGACAGCATGTACGAGATTTTTCAGAGTTTGTTTCAGGGCCAACCTGGGTTGGGTTTGGCACAAAGTGGAAGCTGTAGTGATCAACAGAAGAGGAAGAAGAAGAGCAACGGTAGATCCTGATTCTGACACGCAAAGAGGAGCAAGGTCTTCCTGGGGAGCTTTGGGAAAGTGGGCGCCGCAAGGGATGCTGTGTCGGGCAATTTCCTCCGGAGTGGAGGGGATCAGCCCACCTCAACGACTCGACGGAAGGAAGGGAACAGAGAGGGGGTGAGAGAGAAAGTGGGGAGGGGAACAAGCAACCGTGACGAGCTCGCGCGCGGTTTCAGTTTGATGGGCTGCGGCTACAGTCGTTTCTAGACCGCCTCCGTGCCTAGCCATCCTAAAGGTAGAAGGAGAAGAAGAGCCGAACACAAACAGAGAGTGGTCCTAGAGACGGAGACAGGTTTCAAACAAGGCAGTTGCTCAAGATTGCCGTGGGACTGTAAACCCCCCGTTTGCGAGCATGGAGAAGCACCCAATTGATCCCTGTTCAAACTTCTGCAAAAGCTTCCTCCACATCGTGCAGGTTTCGAGGGTTGTGGGATGCTTGCAGGGCTGAGGAGCCATGCAGTCGGACAAACTGTTGCGAGGCGTGCGAGAACCGGTTTGGATTCGTCAACGCGCATCACCAGTATGTTAGCAAGAAGGATGAGATGGACAAGGCGGGATTTTGCATCGTTGTTTCGACTGTAAATAACATGCAGCGTTTGTTTCGTGATTCGTGCGGTGCGTGTTGCTTGGGTTGTCTTTCGTAGGCTTGGGTTGTCTTTCGTAGGCTTGCCTATTCAGCGCCTCTCGCATTTGCACAATCATTTTGTTTGATTTTGCAGTCCAGTTGCCCGGCCAGTCTCCAGGTCATCATCTTCGAGCGCGGTGATCTTGTCTTTGACTCTCGGCTGCAGCAAAGGGCCGGCCTCAGCCGTGGACCGTCCACAATTTCGAGCTGGTGAATTTTCAGGGGTTGAACACAATGAGTCCTGGCAAATGTTTATGCCAGAACAGGTGCCTCCTATTATGGAGCTCCTATTCCATGTGCTCACAGATCCTCTTCGGTTGCAGGATGCCAGCCAAACTTCAACACGCCTTCTTTGGTCAGAGCATGAATATCCAAGACACAATCGATGCTAAACCCTAAACCCCAGCCTCTGATTGCGGAAAGTGGCTCCACAAACAGTCGGGGTTTAGGGTTTATAGGGGGTTTTAGGGTTTAGGACAAGAGTCGGTAAACACTTGGTATTCCCATCGATAGCAATGCTTAGGTACCTTCCGGCCAAATCCCTAAAACCCTACCCTTCAGACCTGAGACTCTACACCCTGAAGCCCCTAAACCCTGACACCCCTACACCTGAAAGCCTTCAGCCCCAAATCCCTAAACCCTACCCTTCAGACCTGAGACTCTACACCCTGAAGCCCCTAAACCCTGACACCCCTACACCTGAAAGCCTTCAGCCCCAAATCCCTAAACCCTTTGGACCATGAGCTCCTAAACCCCAAAACCCCTAAAACCCTAAAGCCTAGACCCTTAAACCCCTATATAAACCCTACATAGAGCCCTGAAGCTCAGGCCTTCAACTTCCACCCTTGCAACAGCTACGAGGGCTACCAGATCGGAACTCACTCGGTCGAGACCTCAGACCTCAGACGTCGCGCGCTGCCGGGTTTAGGGTTGAGGGCTTCAGGGGTTTAGGGGTTGAGGGTTGAGGGTTAGGGGCTCGCATGTAGGGTTTATAGGGTTGGCATTTTAAGTTCTTTGGGGGGGTTCGGGTTGCAGGGTTTTTTCGGGCTCTGTGGGTTAAGCAGTTAGGGGTTCGGGGTTTCAGTGCGAGTTACCTGTTTCCAGGTCCTCAGGTTATATGAAAAGATTAGGCTTGTTAGACATTTTGGTCTTTAGGTGCGGATCCGAGATATCGTCTGATCCTATCTTTTCTAATTTTCTAGCTGTTGATTATATCAACGTTTCTCCTACTGCCATACATCTGGGCCCTAAAGCCCTAAAGCCCTGAGCCCTGAACCTCGAGATTCCTGAGCCGCTAAACTTCCAAACCCCAAACAGGGGCCGATGGAGCTTCATCCTCAAGGGTTCTTTTTCTGCCCGAGTTGTTTCGGCGGCTTAGAGGAAAGCTGGCCGAAGGAATAAGGGTTTTGAGATGTTTTGAGTTCAGGGAAGACTTCGGAGTTGCGATCGCCGGACGCCCAGGATGAGCCCATGCGTTGCGTCCTGGACACGGACGAGGGCAGATTCGGTGGCCATATGCGTTCGGGCCTCATCCACGACCCCTTCACGTAAAAGCACGCTTCACGCCAAATCTCAGCGGGTTTCCCTGACACATCATGCCGCAAGAAAGACAACAGCAGTCCCAAGAGTGTCAAGCTGCCACATAGTGGTGCGCATCCTCCACTCCTGCGGTACAGGTCTGGATTATGGTCATGGACACCCTTTTCCACCTTTGCATGGGCTGGATAAGCGCCCACATTCCGTCAAGCTGCCTGGCAATGCGCATACCGAGGCTTTGGGATTTCGAAGAATCACATAGTGACATAGTAGCCGTTTTAGTCCTAGTATATATAGTTTCTACTGTACAGTCATCAGCACAGTTTCACTTTTTTTCTCAGATTGGTGGAAAAGCAGATTTGAACTCCAGGTCCAGAGGTTTCCGAAGTGTAACTGGGCGGGCTTCAGCAAAATCGTAGCTCTAGGAAGTTCCCTTCTTGGGTACGCCCCTGGCGGTTTAAAGCTCAGTCACTAGGTCTCGGTTTGGAGAAAGTGCGCAGCGTTGGAATCTATACGCATGTCTATCTGCATGTTATCTTATGCCGTTTTCGTTTCGCTTTATGTTCTCATCTTGCGCTGCGGCGTATTCTGTCATGTTGAGGGTCTTCGGTACCACGCCATCCCGTGGGTCGTGCTAGCCGTGAGGGTTATACTCCACAGTCCCAAGCCCTAAAGCCGGGTCCTGGACAAGGGAGCCCGGGTTTTTGGCGCCTAGAGAACAGGGAGCCGTGGTTTTAGATGCCTGGGATCAGGAGAGCCACCAACCACAGTGTTCTTAATGCTAATTTTAACCAAACCCCATCACAAGCCCATCAATACCCTGCTGGAAAAAGACGCAATTATGATGTAAGATGCTGCAAGATCCCCTGATGGGGCGCTCCAATTCAAGGAGTTCCCGACTCTGACTTGCAGTGTGAGGGACATACACGGTGCCACGATTGAGAAAGACAGCACAAGCTGGAACCTGCACCCCGAAAGGTTGAGACCCCAAATCTCTTGGGGTTTGGGGTTTACCTGGACCCTAAAAAAACCTACCTTTTTGGGGTTCCTTATTATGGTATATTTCTTATATTAAGTCCTTACGAACGTAGGTTATTTGGGGTTAGGGTAGGGTATGCAGGGAGGTAGCTTCGCTCGTGGCGTCTCGGTTTATGGCCAGGAGATAGGGAGCTTGACGATTCAGGGTTAGAGTTCCATCGCGAAGGAAGAGCTCGGCCGCATCTTTGGGAGTTCTTGTCTCAGGATTTAGGATACATCGCGTGTAAAATGTGTAGCTTCGAACATATAGTACATAATATGTACTGCGTGTATACATACATACATATATATATATACATATAGATAGATATATAGATATGATATGTGTATATATATATATATAATCTATATGTATATATATATATACACACATCATAAAATTTCTATGGGACGGCGTTCCACTTCCTCAGCCAAGCCCAGGCTGTATATGCCCTCCCGCACAGCACAGGTGCTTTGCAGGCACGTGCCTGTAGGTGGTAGTTGTGTTTGCTGGCCTTGGGGGCGTAGCTACGAAGTCCCTTTGCTAGTTTGCGAGTTCTGGCAAGTTTATTATCATGTCGCTGCCGTTTTCAGTTGAAGAACATTGCTTGCAGGGCCGTGTGTCGGCCCAACCTCACTGTTCTAAGATTGCACAGTGGCATGTCGAGCCTCAGGGCTGCATGTACCAGCGAAAGGCCAAGACGATGACTAGGGAAGTCACTAGGAAGCAGTATGGTTAAGCATCTTAGAATGCTGTATGCTGATCCATTACATAGGTCAACATAGGTTGCATACAGAGGTCCAGAAACACGACTAGAATCGCGTCCGAACTCCAATCGGGCGTGCTGCGAAGAAAAGTACACAACACTGATAAACTCCTCCCTGGCACCGCAGGCAAAGCAGGCTGGAGGGTGGAGTGCACGTCTATGCGTCGAGCTCAGCACTCCACAGGGTTTGCGAAGATGCCAAGAGGGCGCAGCACATTGCAGGGCTTCTCTTTCTCTCTCTCTCTCTCTCTCTGTCTCTCTCTCTCTCTCTCTCTATATATCTATATATATATACACACACATACATACATAGGGTCTGGCGGCTCGGGCTCTCAGAAATCTCAAGAGATTTGCACTTGTGCCCTCCTCGTGCGCATCGCCGGAAAGCAGCTGCCGGAGAGATCAGATATGTATCTGATGGCTCCGGGGTGACAAATACGGCTAGACTCCGCTGTCTGTCGCACAGAACCGGTTCAGGTTGAAGACAGCTTCCTGGGCCAGTACGATCTGGAGAGCGCAGACGGCCTCAAGCTGTCCCTCTGTTGGCAATGAGAAAAGAGATTTGAAGGGTTGGAGTTGCACGGGATTTTCAATGAAAAGGTGGAAGAATGTTCTCGTTCTTTCATTGATGCAGCCACTCTGTCAACACATGAGAGTGAGGTCTCTAGTGATCCAGAAGGACGGGGCTGAGGAGATGTTGGATTTTGACTTTGAGGATGGGGCCGTTCATTTGAAAGAGAACTTCGACGCAACCTTCGACATTGTCACGGCAGACAACTGCATCCTGCCTTGCAAGGCCTCCAAGGATACCAGGTTCCGAATCTATTTTCCTGGTGAATACACTGTCGCACACCTGGGCTACCTCAAAAATGGGCGACCTGAAGGTCTGCCTGAACCAGTTCAGGAGGCACCTGAAGAACCCACACCAGTGCCGGAGCCAGCCGCCCAGCCGGCGCCGCAGCCCGCGCCGCAGCCCGC